GCGTTTTTTTTTTCTTCTGAAAAAGCCCACAAAAAGATACCGTCTGATCAAGTAAAGGTGACCAAAATGTAATTTATTCATGCAATGTCCATTAGTCCAATCTTCAGTGTTACATAATTTTTCAGAAATCATTCCAATATGCTGGTGTTACATTTCTTATAATTATCAGTGTTGAAAACAGTTGTGCTGGTTCTCATTTTTGTGTAAATCGAGATAAATAGATTTTTATTTATTGAGGATTATTTGATGAATAAAAAGTTCAAAAGAACAGTCCCCAGAGGACTAATAAAAATTGTGCACTAGAGATTTATTATTAGCCTAGTTGTTGTTGTTGGTTTTGTTGTTTATTTTATTTTTAACCAATGATGTTACTGTCATGCTACGGTGAGATAAACACACGAAGAAGATGAAGATAAATGGAAATAGTCTTTAATAAATCCACACAAGGGTAAATCCAGGACAGAACAGGCAGGAGCACACGTAGGGACGACGCCAAACAATGAAATGAACACAACTAAAATAGGGGTGCTAATGAGGGACAGACAGGTGAGGAGGATCAACTAATGAGGACACAGGTGAACTAAATGACAATCGAAGGGGAGACAGAAACTAGGTCACAATGAGCACATGGGGAAAGAAAACACAACAAAAACAGTCCAGGGGTGTGAGTTCGCCCCCCTCCTGGAAGGCACAACCTCGCGCCGCAGGAACAACAAAGGGAGGGACAGAGGGGGACTTAGGAGGAGGACAAAGGAGCAAATGTGGGATGGTGACAGGGGATGGCAAAAGGCTGACAGGAAAGCAGGCAGACAACACAGGTGGAGGTTTGGGCAGAGGACGGACTCCCGTGAGGAGGACGATAGACAGAGTCCAGGGAAGAGACGACGGAGGGAGGAGCCAGGGAAGAAACGGGGAGAGCCAAGGCGGATCAGATGGAGGGAGGAGCCAGGGAAGAAACGGGGAGAGCCAAGGCGGATCAGATGGAGGGAGGAGCCAGGGAGAAGACAGGAGGGAGCAGGAGGAACCAGGTGGGACCCAGGCCACAGCCATGATGGCGGCCCATGATGGAGCCGACGGAGGGGGGAGCTATGGTGGATGAAGGGCTGACGGCTCCAGGGGGCCGACCGATGGCTGTGGAGCCCGAGGTGGAGATGGAGAGCCGATGAGCCAGGGTGACGGGGAGGATCCGGAGGGCCAAGGCGGAGCAGATGGTGGAGTCGTAGCGACAGAGGACCAAGATGGAGCCGGAGGGAAGGAGGAGCCTGACAGAGCCGGAGGGATGAGGTGTAACCGGAGAAGTGGAGTCCCGAGGCGGCGGATGATCAACGACAGACCAAGGTGGAGCCGGAGGGACGAAGGAGCCCGGCAGAGCTCATGGATTGACGGGCCACGGCGGAGAGGAGGGAGCTAGGAGCCATGGTGGAGCCGCTGGGTCGAAGGGCCGAGGCGGAGTCCGGGACTCAGAGGCTGGAGGCGGAGACAAGAGATCCTCCAGCTATGACGCCGATGGAGACTGGCAGACCCGCGGCGATCCCACCGCACAGATGGCGGGCTGAGGGTGAGCAGAGGGGCTGCCAGGAGACAGCGGCGGTGATGTTGAGGACTGGTACAGAGGTGGTGGGAGAGGGAGGCTGGGCTGTGTGCTGCCCACACACCGTAAGGACACTTCCAGCACCGTAAGCGCCAGTGACAGGGGAACGACCTCCATGGTCGTTATAATATTGGCATACAGTTCTGGGCAGACAGATAGTTCCAGGTAGACAGACAGTTCAAGACAAACAGACAGTTCAAATACGACCTCCATGGTCGTTTCAGGACTGACAGATGATTCAATCACGACCTCCGTGGCCGTGACAGGACAGACAGATGATGATGGCGGGAGAAGACAAGGCATATTCGCATATAAATCAACATTATTGTCCTCTGAGTGCAACCTCAGCTCACCCCTCGCGGTGGTGCGGTGGGCGGGGCTATCTTCTGTGCCCTCGCTCCCTACTGACACTTCCACCGTCGCATGTCTTGCAGCCGGCTCGGGCACCTGGACTGACGATCATGGCTCTGGCTCCGGGGCGATCCTCAGCTCTGTCGCACTCCTAGGCGATGGCTCGTCAGTCGTGGCGGGCTCTGGCTCTCCGTCTGCAGTGGGCTCTAACTGCCGAACATAATAAAAACAAAACGCGGGAATACACGCCGTGCACTTTACTTCTAGGTCCAGTCTTCTCTCATGCTACGGTGAGATAAATGCACGAAGAAGCTGAAGATAAATGCAAATAGCCTTTAATAAATCCACACAAGGGTAAATCCAGGACAGAACAGGCAGGAGCACACGTAGAGACGTAGTAGACCGCACCCCAAACAGTGAAATGAACACAACTAAAATAGGGGTGCTAACGAGGGACAGACAGGTGAGGAGGATCAACTAATGAGGACACAGGTGAACTAAATGACATAATCGATGGGAGACAGAAACTAGGTCACACTGAGCACATGGGGAAAGAAAACACAACAAAAACAGTCCAGGGGTGTGACAGATTACTGATCTTTATACTGTATGCATATGTATACACTAACAGTCAAAAGTTTTTGAACCGTAAGATCTTTAATGTTTTTTAAAGAAGTCCCTTCTGCTCACCAAGCCTGCATTTATTTGATCCAAAGTACAGCAAAAACAGTAAAAATGTTAAATGTTTTTACTATTTAAAATAACTATTTAAAATAAATATTTCCCCACATTTTTTTTCCACATTAGCTTAAAATTGTATGTGTCAAGCATTTCTGAAATGCATCTTATTTAAGCATAAAATAGCTGTGATGTAGATTACATAGTACTAATGCAATATATTGCATGTATTTATTTAACTATTTAAATGAAACAACACAGTAGAGAAGAAGAAAAGAAGAAAAACGTAAATAATCAGCCCCTATTTGGCCTAAGATTCTGGTAAGCGCTTTGCCATTTATGTGTGTGCACACTTAAGCATTAATCAGGCTCATTACTAATACATTCTTGTGTCTCATATCATTAAGAAGCAGGGCATTGTGGGTAAACAGCTGTTATTGTCATTCAGAGTGCATATGTGGGGCAGAACAGGGTGAAAGGCTCTGCTGGTGGTTAGCACTGTAATGCCGTGTCAATTTCAGTAGCTCCGTCTGCATACCGGAGAGGAAGAGTCCGCCTGTGTGACCCTGGAGAGGAAGAGAGAAATAGTGTTGAAGAACAGAAACAGAGAGAGAGAGAGACAGAGACAGAGAAAGGGACTTCAATGAGTCCTTGTAATGGGTGTCCCGGTAAACAGGCTCTGGCTACTGTTATCTCCAGGCTAATGATGTCTGCTGCGCTATTCAATTAGGACAGGAACAAGGTCACTAACAGCTCAGGCCTTAAAGAGTTTAATGCCGCCCTCGCCACTAGACTTCCACTCCATTAGTCTGTGTTGAGTCCAATAAAACGTCAGCTGTGAGAACACAGACCACAGCTGCATGCTACTTTCAGCTCTATTTGCATGCATTCTGCTTAAAGTTCAAATGCTTTGTGTCTACTGACCGTCTGCTTGTTGTAATTGCTATATTTTGGCAGCATCTGTATGAGTGAGAGATGTAATGTTCTCTGTTTTAATTAACAAACAGGTTTGATTTATTGAGTTTAGTGTCTGTTATTCACATCCCATTCATTGTTAGTTTGAAATAGCTCCTGTCACGCTCATTTTTATGTTTTCATGAGGATAGTACTACCATTAATTTATCAAATTTGTTTCATTTATAGCTACTGCCAAATATTTAGCAAGAAAATTTGTTTTAGGCTTAACATCTGTGAAGTTCCCTCACATTTGGAAAAAAGTTATTTTTTGCTCTACTTAGTTCTTACACACAACACATGAAGCAAATACAAATCATGTATGCATTTTCTGGCCTTTAGAAATTAAAACGCCCTCAAGCTTTTCAGAGCTTTATACTTTATTTAACAAATAAATCTTGCAGCATTACTGGGGAAAAAATCAACATACACACTACCATTCAGAATTTAGGGTCTTTAGTAAATTTGTTGAATTTAATAAAATTGTTTTATTATATTGAAAGAAATTACTACGTTTATTCAGCAAGGATGCATTCAGTTACTCAAAAATGACAGTAAAGACATTTATAATGTTACTGTCAGGAACTGTGTTGGAGGGACGATGCGGAGATGTGGATCAAAGTGACAGTCTTTAATGCAATCCAAACACAAGGGGTAATCCACACAAGGAACGGCTTTGACACACGATCATGACGATTAAGTAAGGCAGACTGCACAGACTGGGGTACAAATACTAGGTCACGGAGAGCACATGGGGAGGAAAACACACACAGACAGTCCAGGGGCGTGACAGTTACAACATTTATATATATAAAAGATAACTCAGTTTTTAACAATTTTCAAAAATCATGTTTTTTCATTGTGCATTTCCATTAATCTTAATCAAACTGCAGTTAGGTTATTTTGATTAAGTAAAAATAAAATAAAAAATACAGCTAACTAACACAATAAAACACAATAAAAAACATGATTTTTGAAAAAATTAATTTAAATAAAAAAATTTGAAAATGGAGTTGTCTGTTTTTGCAAATAAACTGATTTCTGAAGGATCATGTGACACTGAAGACTTGAGTAATGATGCTGAACTTCAGCTTTGCCATCACATGAATAAATTACATTTATTTATTTTGTTTTGTTTTTGGAAAAATGTTAATAATATTTCACATAATTACTCATTTGAATGTATTTCTTAGCACATAAATGCAGCCCAGTTGAGCATAAGATATTACCATCCCTAAACTTTTGAACAGTATTGTATGTCACACTAAATTATTTTTTATATTATTTTTTGTACAGAGATGGTGGCAGAAAGTGTTTTAGGCCAACAGCAGTTTCCCAGGAGGTGCTGCTCACTGACACACAACTGTCCTTGACTAACCTCCCATTTGCATTCATCGACTCTCTCTTTGTCCATCTCTTTCTGTAGGAGCTGGTGGGAAGTAACCCTCCGCAGAGGAACTGGAAGGGAATAGCGATTGCACTGCTTGTTATTCTGGTCATCTGTTCTCTGATCGTCACCTCTGTCATTCTGCTGACTCCAGGTATGCAGCCTGGGAGCAAAGGGCCCGGGGCCATGAGCCTCTGAACCACACTACACACACACACACACACACACACTTATGATGCTGTTAACAAACCAGCACGTTTCAAGTGTCTGCATACAGGTGCACAATCCTATTACAGACGCAGCCTCTCATGTCACCACATCCTGCCAGAACACCTTGAATGTTTTCCAAAACATCTTGGCTTGTACTTAGAAATTTCAATTGGGACAGGTTTTCGCATATGTGACACAACCATGCAAACAAAATGAACACTTTCAAGGGTTCTGGACACATCCAGTGTGACCAAACAACACAGATGCGAAGTGTAATAACAGGCTTCATACTGCAACTAAATTGGTTGTAAACACGCCAAAAAATAAATCTGTCCCACAGTAATTTAAAATGTAGTCTCTTTTGGCCAAAGGCAGGAACAACTGTTACAAAAACACGTTATTGTTGTTACTTGGCATATGAGAGGTCCAATTGTCAGACTGTATCAACTTTTTTGGGGAGGCATGTTTGATCCCCAAACAAGCATTATTGATACAAAACAGAACAATATTTACGTGGCACAAATACAATCAGGATCATTCAAGTGACAGAAATAGATTGGAACCAATTTATAACTAAAAAAACACACTCTAGTGTACACTATAATTCAAAAGTATTACGTCAGTTAGATGTTATAATGATTTTCTAAACATCTCCAAGGCTGCATTTATTTGATCAAAAACAGAAATATTGTTAAATATAACATTTTAAGTTCATTTAATTTCTATTTAAAATATTTTAAAATGTAATTTATCCTGTGATGGCAAAACTGAATTTTCAAAAGCCATTTGTCACGATCGCTGCCGGAAGGAACACGGAGCCGTGGAATACATGAAATAGTCTTTATTAAATCCAAGACACGGGTAAATCAAACTCAGGAACGAGGAATGACACACGAACACAACTTAGTAGACCCGACAAAGAAACATGAGGCAGACTACACATTATATACTAGACTTGACGAGGGATAGACAGGTGCGGGGAATCAACTAATAATCAACCTAAACGAGGAAAGGAACATGACCAAATAAGGACAAACAGGAACAGAAACAGGGGCAAAACACGACACAGACAGTCCAGAATCCTGACATTACTCCCCCTCCTGGAAGGCGAAACTACATGGGGAGGGGCGGGGGGGAACTTGGGAGGCGGCTCAGGAGGAGGACGGACACCTGGGAGGGGGCCGTACAGACAGAGTCCAGGGAGGTGACGAAGGAGGGAGGAGACAGGAGGGACTTGGAGCAGGATGAGCCAAGCAGGACCCAGGCCACAGCCATGACAGCGACCCACGGTGAGAGCCAGGGCGACGGGGAGGATCCGGAGGGCCAAGGCGGAGCAGATGGCGCTGGCGACTGACGCGGAGGCATGGATCCGAAAGGCCGCGGTGGAGCCGGAGCGACAGAGGACTGAGGAGGAGCCGAAGGGATGAAGGACCCTGATGGAGCCGGAGGGACGAAGGGACGAGGCACAGGATGGTCGACACCAGACCAAGGCAGAGCCAAAAGGACGAGGGAGCCTGGTGGAGCCAGTGGACTGCCGGGCCACGGCGGAGAGGAGGGAGCTAGGAGCCATGGTGGAGCCGACGGGTCCACGGGCCAAGGCGGAGTCCGGGGCTTAAAGGCTGGAGGCGGAGTCAATGGAAACTCCAGCCATGGCGAGCAGAGGGTCTGCCAGACGACAGCGGAGGAGGAGGCAGGAGAGGGTGGGAGGGCAGGTTATTTGTGAGCCTCTGGGCTTTCAGGGCTGAACTCATGAACAGGAGCCCTCCTTGGGCTGGACGTGGGAACAAGAACTTACTCTGGGCTAAACTCTGGGACTGGAACCCTCTCAGGGCTGAACTGGGAAACGGGAGCCCACTCAGGGCTGGACGGGACCAGCGGGGACGAAGGAGAGAGGAGAGGCGGCAAGTTGGGTTCCAGCTCTGTTTCCCAGTCTATAAGGTCCTCCTCGCAGTCCCAGCTGTATAATCAGCTCACACTCAGCCGCAGTGCAGTGGGCGGAGCTCCACTCCGCGCTCTCTCTGTCCACGGCATTGTCCCTCGTGGCGGGCTCGGTTGCCGGCTCTCGCACCTTGACTGACGTCATTTGCAGCTCCGGCTCCGTGGCGATCCTCCGCACTGTCGCTCCGTGCGGCAATGGCTCGTCAGTCGTGGCGGGCTCCGGCTCTCCGTCAGCGGTGGACTCAGGCATGCGCTCCACGCATCGGGGAGATGGTGGGCTAGGCACTGGGTCGGGAATGGAACTGGCAAGATTCTCCTGGGAACAGGCGGGGAACGGAGATCCGTTTCTCGCCAGTGTCCACTACACAAAGGCTGCAAAATTCTCTCGAGGACCATCTTCGGACGACAGTGCTCTGCACGAGATGTTTAAACTGGCGTCGTAGAACGCACAGAGCACGTCGCCCGGGTAGCTGGTGGTATGGCCCTCGAGCGATCTCTCCCCCTGCTCCAGCAGGAGGAGGAGATATTCCGGACGGGAGAGGGGATCCATAGAAACACACAACGGAAACAAAAAACACTGTGTGGAAAAAAACGGAAACAAAAATGGAGGGAACACACAGATTAAACTGTTACATTATATACTAGACTTGATGAGGGATAGACAGGTGCGGGGAATCAACTAATAATCAAACTAAACGAGGACAGGAACATGATCAAATAAGGACAAACAGGAACAGAAACGGGCAAAACACGACACAGACAGTCCAGAATCCTGACACCATTACTCCAGTCTTCAGTGTCACATGATTCTTCAGAAATCATTCAGTTGGTCTAATTTTAATGTGCCATTGCTGAATAACAGTATTCAGTTCTATCCAAAAAATTAAAACTCATCGGGGAGATGGTGGCCTGGGCACTGGGTCGGGAGTGGAACTGGCGAGATTCTCCTGGGAACAGGCGGGGAACGGAGATCCGTTTCTCGCCAGTGTCCACTACACAAAGGCTGCAAAATTCTCTCGAGGACCATCTTCGGACGACAGTGCTCTGCACGAGATGTTTAAACTGGCGTCGTAGAACGCACAGAGCACGTCGCCCGGGTAGCTGGTTAGATCAGTGAAAGACAGTCCAGAATCCTGACACCATTACTCCAGTCTTCAGTGTCACATGATTCTTCAGAAATCATTCAGTTGGTCTAATTTTAATGTGCCATTGCTGAATAACAGTATTCAGTTCTATCCAAAAAATTAAAACTCACTGTCTCACATATATATACTTATTATACTAAACATATTTCCATCGTAGCACACAGCAGTGATATGTTTAAAGGTGAAGAAGCAACTTATGTCCTCATTGACCTGAAATGCTTCTGCATAACCATTGTTGTTGTGTGATTTTTTTTTTCCACTTAACATTTGGTTACTAAATGTCCCAACTTTTAGAAGCCAGTTGTAGCCACATTGAGTCAAATGCCGATTAGAATACAGAAAAACCATCACAGTAAGGTATATCAAATCTTTTTGGTTAAGAATTTAGTGTTTTTATTTAATTGTATTGAGTAAAATTCCAGTCAGGCTCAGAGTTTGTGTCCTTGCTATAGTGTAATTTCACAATTAAATACTGAATAATATAATTAAAAGGCATCGTTACTTGTAATTATGCATAATTTACTGTTTATTATAATAGTACATTCATGTAACAAGTACAACAAAGACACTGTAAATTGATACCAAACTTGCTTATATTCTTCTTCCACAGACAAAAATCTACTTTAGAATAGTTAGGTTTCAGTGTTGTTCTCTGCCATCGAAATACTATCAAAAGAAGCAGCGAATCTGTGTACAGAATGGGATTAAGCTCTCACTAGACGAGGAACTACTATATTTAACAGCAGTGTGTGCGTGGCCAGTGAAGCCTGTTACTGGGCAATATAAATCTCTGAGTTCCCTTGCTCTCTAAAATCCATTAAAATCTCCCAGCCATGCTTTAATTAGTGTGCTGTGAATGCTGGTTTGCTTACATTAAGCTAGAAGGTTCAGTCTTTGAGAAACTAATTGAGAAGTTTTGTCTGTTCCCACACATTTACGTTTCTCTCTAATTATAAACTCAGTGTAAAGTCTTTTAATGGGAGGCACAGATTGAGATGTGACACCATGTGTAATTTGTTTTCTGTCTGTGAGTGTGTGTGTGCTTTTGTGTGTGTGTTGTCACATCCTCTTTTGTCCATTTGGACACCTTGTCTGGCTGCAGTCCTTTACTTCATGTCTGTGCTCTATCTAAACTGGAGCAGGGGATGGTTCAGGCAGTCAGGCTAATAGAGGAAGAGAGAATGAGCACAGGCCGTTGAGACCGAGCAGGTGGCGTCTCTAGTTTGAGTCCTGACACCTCTCCAAAACTGCGGGATGGGACATAGGACAGCATCTCAAAGATCTCTACAGACTGCTGCATGTCTGTAAACCAGGTCACTTACATAAGTGCACCTGAGTTAACCAGGAAAGGCACATTGCGAAATAATCCTGTTCTTGAGGTCAACATGAGACACCATTTGCAACACATTTTACTTCTGCAGTGTGACATTTCAGAGTGAAACAGGATGTTTAATGATAAAAACATGTAGAATGGGATTTAATTCTTCAGGAATTGATTGGATCATGGTACGTCGTCTCTATATGACAGGTGCACAGAAGGAAGGGGTTAAAAATAAGAGGGAATGACGCTTCAAATGGTTCAGAGTTTTTTTTGGGTTTTTTTTTTGTGTGTGTGTGTGTGTCCTTGAATTAATGGGCATAATAAATCATACAGAAGACCAGAAACGTGTATTAAGATATAGTCAGTTATGATATAAACGGACACATTAAATTAAATCAATACAGTAAAGATGTTCATAATGTTACAAATAGATTTCTATTTCAGATAAAAGTGGTTCATCAAAATTTCTGTTCATCAAAAATTACGAAAAAAAAGCAGCACAACAATTTCCAACTAATGATGGTAATACACTCTTAAAAA